AGAAATAAAGGGTATTCAATTAGGAAAGGAGGAAGTCAAACTGTCTCTATTTGCAGATGACATGATTGTATACTTAGTTAAGGTTGATGACCATTGCATGGGTTTATTAACAGTCTGGCACTTTTCCACAGGGCTTTAATATATGAAAAAAAGAAAAAAGAAAAGTAAAAATAAAAACAAAATAAAATAAAAAAGATTGTATATTTAGAAGACCCCACCGTTTCAGCCCAAAATCTCCTGAAATTGATAAGCAACTTTAGCAAAGTCTCGGGATACAAAATCAATGTGCAAAAATCACAAGCATTCCTATACACCAATAACAGACTTAGAGCCAAATCAAGAACAAACTGCCATTCACAATTGCTACAGAGAGAATAAAATACCTAGGAAAACAACTAACAAAGAATGTAAAGAACCTCTTCAAGGAGAACTACAAACCACTGCTCAACAAAATAAGACAGGACACAAACAGATGGAGAAACATTCCATATTCATGGTTAGGAAGAATCAATATTATGAAAATGGCCATGCTGCCCAAAGTAATTTACAGAGTCAATGCTATCCCCATCAAGCTACAAATGACCTTCTTCTCAGAACTGGAAAAAACCACTTTAAACTTCATATGGAACCAAAAGAGAGCCTGCATAGCCAAGTCAATTCTAAGCAAAAATAACAAAGCTGGAGGCATCACCCTACCTGACTTCAAACCATACTATAAGGCTACAGTAATCAAAACAGCATGGTGCTGGTACCAAAACAGAGATATAGACCAATGGAACAGAACAGAGGCCTCAGAAGCAATGTCACACATCTACAACCATCTGATCTTTCACAAACCTGATAAAAACAAGCAATGGGGAAAGGATTCCCTGTTTAATAAACAGTGTTGGGAAAACTGGCTAGAAGTGTGCAGAAAGCAGAAACTGGACCCCTTCCTGACACCTTACACTAAAATTAACTCCAGATGGATTAAAGACTTAAACATAAGACCTAACACCATAAAAACTCTAGAAGAAAATCTAGGCAAAACCATTCAGGACATAGGCATAGGCAAGGACTTCATGACTAAAACACCAAAAGCATTGGCAACAAAAGCCAAAATAGACAAATGGGACCTAATTAAACTCCACAGCTTCTGCAAAGCAAAAGAAACAGTCATTAGAGTGAATCAGCAACTAAGAGAATGGGAAAAAATTTTTGCAATCTATCCATCTAACAAAGGGCGAATATCCAGAGTCTACAGAGAACTAAAACAGATTTACAAGAAAAAAACAAATAAGCCCATTCAAAAGTGGGCGAAGGATATGAAAAGACACTTTACAAAAGAAGACATATGAGGCCAACAAACACATGAAAAAATGGCTGGGCATAGTGGCTCACACCTGGAATCCCAGCTCTTTGGGAGGCCAAGGTGGGCAGATCACCTAAGGTCAGAAGTTCAAGACCAGCCTGACCAACACGGTAAAACCTCATCTCTACTAAAAATACAAAAATTAGCTGGGCATGGTGGCGTCCGCCTGTAATCTCAGCTACTCAGGAGGCTGAAGCAGGAGAACTGCTGGAACCCGGGAGGCGGAGGTTACAGTGAGCCAAGTTCGTGCCACTGCACTCCATCCTGGGTGACAGAGCGAGACTCCATCTCAAAAAACAAACACATGAAAAAATGCTCATCATCACTGGTCATTAGAGAAATGCAAATCAAAACTACACTGAGATACCATCTCACGCCAGTTAGAATGGCGATCATTAAAAAATCTGGAGACAACAGATGCTGGAGAGGATGTGGAGAAATAGGAACACTTTTACACTGTTGGTGGGAGTATAAATTAGTTCAATCATTGTGGAAGACAGTGTGGCGATTCCTCAAGGACCTAGAAATAGAAATTTCATTTGACCCAGCAATCCCATTACTGGGTATATATCCAAAGGAGTATAAATCGTTCTATTATAAAGACACATGCACACAATGTTCATTGCAGCACTGTTTACAACAGCAAAGACCTGGAACCAACCCAAATGCCCATCGATGATAAACTGCACAGGGAAAACGTGGAACATATACACCATGGAATACTATGCAGCCATCAAAAACGATGAGTTCGTGTCCTTTGCAGGGACATGGATGAACCTGGAAGCCATCATTCTCAGCAAACTGACACAAGAACAGAAAATCAAACACCACATGTTCTCACTCACAGGAGGGGGATGAACAATGAGAACACATGGACACAGAGAGGGGAGCAACACACACTGGGGTCTGTGAGGAGGATCTAGGGGAGGGACACGTCGGGGTGGGGAGTTGGGGATAGATAACATGGGGAGAAACGCCAGATATAGGTGATGGGGAGGAAGGCAGCAAACCACACTGCCATGTATGTACCTACACAACAATCTTGCATGTTCTTCACAGGTACCCCAAAACCAAAAATGCAATAAAATATATATTAAAAAAAATAAATTTTTTTTAAAATTAAAAAAAGATACAGAACAGTTCCATCAGTCACCTCTAAAAAAATTTCCCTGCTACTCAGCAACCATTGGTCAGGTTTTCTTGTCCTTATAGTTTTGCCTTTCCCAGAACACCATGTAACTTGAATCATGTAGTATGTAGCCTTCCGGGTCGGGGATGGGGCTTCCTTCACTTAGCAAAATGCTTCTGAGATTCATCCATGTTGTTGCCATTAGCAGTCTGTCCCTTTTTATCGATAAGTAGCATGTTATTGTATGGACATGCCGTATTTTGTTTATACACTTAGCAGCTGAAGGTCATGTGAATTATCTCCTGTTTTTGGAGATCATGAATAAAGCCACTGAGCAGGAAATTTAAGGGTAGGGAATGGGTCAGTTTTCTGAAAAGTCTCTAACACATATCTCTTTTTTTTCTTTTTTTGGAAAAAGGATGTCTCTGTATTGCCCAGGCTGAAGTGCAGTGGTGCACGTGAGGCTCACTAAAGCCTCAACCTTTCACACTACAGGCTCAGCCTCTCTACTAGCTGGAACTACAAGTGCATGCTACCAGGAAGGGCTAATTTATTTTTATTTTTAGTAGAGATGGGATCTGTGTTGCCCAGGATAGTCTCGAACTCCTGGCTCAAGCGATCCTCCCACCTCAGCCTCCCAAATTGTTGGGATTACAGGCGTGAGTCACTGCACCCAGCCCTTCATCACACATCTAATCTCACAACAATCGTCAGAGGTAGATGTAACAGGTGTTACTGTTACTAACTCCATTTAACAGATAAAAAACACTGAACCAAATAGAAGTGAAAAATTGGGCTTTTAAAATGGATTTTCAAGGCCAGGTGTGGTGGCTCACACCAATAATCCTAACATTTTGGGAGGCCAAGGCAGAGGATCACTTGAGTCCAGGAGTTCAAGACCAGCCTGGGCAATAAGGCAAAACCCTGTCTCTACCAAAAATACAAAACAAAATAAGCTGGGCATGGTAGTGCGTACCTGTAGTCCCAGCTACTCAGGAGGCTGAGATGGGAGGATGATTTGAGCCCAGGAGGCAGAGGCTGCAGTGAGCTGAGATTGTACCACTGAACTTCAGCCTGTGTGACACAGCGAGAATCTGTCTCAAAAAAAAAAAAAATAATAATAATAATAATAATAAAATGAGGCTGGGCGCAGTGGATCATGCCTGTAATCCCAGCACTTTGGTAGGCTGAGGCAGGCGGATCACCTGAGGTCAGGAGTTCAAGACCAGCCTGACCAACATGGAGAAACCCTGTCTCTACCAAATATACAAAATTAGCCAGGCATGGTGGCACATGCCTATAATCCTAGCTATACGGGAGGCTGAGGCAGGAGAATCACTTGAATCTGGGAGGTGGAGGTTGCAGTGAGCAGAGATCACGCCATTGCACTGAAGCCTGGGTGACACAGCGAGACTCCATCTCAGAAATAAAGAAAGAAATTAGTAATAAAATGAATTTTCATATAGTTTGGTATGGTTCAGTAAGTTTCAGCAGGCAGACTGTCAGGGTAAGATGGATCGTTATATATATATTCATATATATATAAAAATACGTGTACTTAAGCCGGGTGCAATGGCTCATGCCTGTAATCCCAGCACTTTGGGAGGCTGAGGTGGGTGGATCACCTGGGGTCAGAAGTTTGAGACCAGCCTGGCCAACATGGTGAACCCCCATCTCTATTTTTTTAAAAAAAGTGTATTTATATGCTTTATTTATATATTTATTTATTTTAGCAGAGACAGGGTCTCCCTATGTTGCCAGGCTGGTCTCAGACTCCTGAGCTCAAGCAATCCTCCCACCTCAGCCTCCCAAAGTGCTCACATTGCAGGTGTGAGCCACCACACCTGGTCTCATAAGGGGAATTAAAGGAACTCTCTACTATGATGTCCCTTCTCCCAATCCCTTTCCCCGTGTAGAAGAGGGTTCTGTTGAGTGACTGGCATTTGCTTATATTTCTCAGTGCTATGCCCAGTGTAACAGAAAATGTACCAGCTCAAGAGCCCAGGGATTTCAGTTCCAGGCCAAGCTCATCCATTAACCTAGAGTCAGTCAAACCTCTCTGGATTTCAGATTCTTCATCTGAATAATGTAGACAACACTTATCCCATAGTACACAACAAAGATGATCCATGACAGTGAACAAGTTAGTTTCCCTTCAGATATTAAGAATGAGGGCCAGGCACACTGGCTCATGCCTGTAATCCCAGAACTTTGAGAGGCCAAGGCATGCGGACCACAAGGTCAGGACCAGTCTGGCCAAGAGACCAGCCTGGCCAATATGGTGAAACCCCGTCTCTACTAAAAATACAAAAATGAGCTGGGTGTGGTGGCAGGCTGTAATCCCAGCTACTCGGGAGGCTGAGGCAGGATAATTGCTTAAACCCAGAAGGCGGAGGTTGCAGTGAGCCAAGATTTTGCCACTGAACTCTAGACTGGGCGACAGAGCAAGGCTCCAACTCAAAAAAAAAAAAATGAGATTAGAGAGGCCCTTCATTCCTCCTTGAAGAACACCTGATGTACCTGAACTCTTTGTTGGTGACGGGAAATATGTCAATGGCAAAGGGTTTCACTGTCACCTCCCGCACAGGCCCTTCACCATCTCTGCTGTCTGGGGAATTTGTTCCCATCAGGAATCTCCCACCTGGCAGTTGGACCATCCTAGCAGCCTGTCCATTTCCTGCAGAGAAAAAAGAGAGCTATCAGTAATACATGCACACATACAAAACAAGTGGTAATATTTGGATCGTATGCAATACTCATGATAGTATAACAAAACAAACAAAAAAACATGGAGGCCTAAAAATCTAGCTTTAAATTCCTTTTGTGTTTTGTTTGTTTGGCTTCACATTCTTGTCTGCCACTTAATTTGCTGGGAAACCTTAGGCAAATTACTTAATCTGAGATTCAATTTTTTTTTTTTTTTTTTTTTTGGTGACAGGATCTCGCTCTGTCACCCAGGCTGGAGTTCACTGGTGCAATCTTGACTCACTGCAACCTCTGGCCCCGAGGGCTGAAGCAATCTTCCCACCTCAGCCTCCCGAGTAGCTGGGACCATAAGTGTACACCACCATGCCTGGCTAATTTTTGTACTTTTTGTAGAGATGGGGTTTTGTTATGTTGCCCAGGCTGGTCTCAAACTCCTGAGCTCAAGTGATCCTTCCACCTCAGCCTCCCAAAGTGCTGGGATTACAGGTGTGAGCCACCACGCCCAGCTGGGTTTCAATTTCATCTGAAAAATGGGGATATCTATGAATGACTGTACTTCTTAATAAAAGAAAAAAAAGCCGGGCGCGGTGGCTCACGCCTGTAATCCCAGCACTTTGGGAGGCCGAGGCGGGTGGATCACGAGGTCAAGAGATCGAGAGCATCCTGGTCAACATGGTGAAACCCCGTCTCTACTAAAAATACAAAAATTCAGCTGGGCATGGTGGCGTGTGCCTGTAATCCCAGCTACTCAGGAGGCTGAGGCAGAAGAATTGTCTGAACCCAGGCTGGAGTGCAATGGCGCGATCTCCGCTCAGCGCAACCTCCGCCTCCTGAGTTCAGACACCTCTTCTTAACAAGAAGAAAACCCAATCACAAAAAAAAAAAGGCATGCAAAATGGGGATAATATCTCACTATCTCTTAGGTAGTAGCTCTATTGAATAAAATAACACAGAATCAGGTGCAGTGGCTCAGAGACAGGGTACAGAGGCTAAGGCAGGAAGACTGCTTGAGCCCAGGAATGTGAGGTTGCAGTGAGCTATGATTGTATCACTGCACTCCAGCCTGGGTGACAGAGCAAGGCCATGTCTCAAAAAATTAAAAATATTGGGAGATGAATGTGGGCAGGTCACAAGGTCAAGAGATAGAGACCATCCTAGCTAACACGGTGAAACCCTGTCTCTACTAAAAATACAAATTAGCCGGCTGTGGCGGCACCCACCTGTAGTCACAGTTACTTGGGAGTCAGAGGCATGAGGCAGGAGAATCGCTTGAACCTGGGAGGCAGAGGTGGCAGTAAGCTGAGATTGCACCACTGCACTCCACCTTGGGCAACAGATTGACACTCTGTCTCAGAAAAAAAAAAAAAATTAAAAAATTAAAAGATAAAAATAAAATAGCATGGGTGAAATGTTGAGCACATGGTAGATTTTCACTTACCTCTTTCTTCCTCTACACAAGCCCTTGCCCCAGCTAGGCGAATTTAGACACTCTACCCTAAAATACCTCTAGCACTTTCTACCCATCCTTCTGCTCATGCTGTTTCTCTGCCTCTTCCTCTCCACTTACTGAACTCTTACCAGTTCTTAGTGATTCTCACCATTGTATGCTCCAGAAAGGAAACATATAATACATATATTTTTGCCAGTGTATCTCTGGACCCTCTAATCTTTGGCTCTCTTATTTTGACACACACTGATTTAACCATTTTCAGTTTCTTCAACAAATATATCGCAAAGGGGAAAAAAGGAGCATCCTGGCGTGGTGGCTCAAGCCTGTAATCCCAACACTTGGGGAAGCTGAGGCAGGAGACTGCTTGAGGCTGCAGTGAGCTATGATGGCACCCCTGCACTGCAGCCTGGGCAACAGGGCGAGACCTCGTCCCCCGCCCCACCAAAAATAAATAAATAAGTAAAAGGAGTAAGCAGGGAAATCTCAGATTGAATCAGAATTAAGAAACAACATACAATCGCAATGTATGAGCTTTATTTTGATCGTAATTTAGCCAGCAAAGGTTAAAAACCGTTTATGAGATAATAGAAGAATTTGAACAGACTGGATATATCATTAAGGAGCACTTTCAATTTTTTTTTTTTTTTTTGAGACAGAGTTTCGCTCTTGTTACCCAGGCTGGAGTGCAATGGCGCGATCTCGGCTCACCGCAACCTCCGCCTCCTGGGTTCAGGTAATTCTCCTGCCTCAGCCTCCTGAGTAGCTGGGATTACAGGCACGCGCCACCATGCCCAGCTAATGTTTTGTATTTTTAGTAGAGACGGGGTTTCACCATGTTGACCAGGATGGTCTCGATCTCTTGACCTCGTGATCCACCCGCCTCGGCCTCCCAAAGTGCTGGATTACAGGCGGGAGCCACCGCGCCCAGCCAGCACTTTCAACTTTTTAGGTGAGAAACGGTAGTTATTTTTTCGTGACTTATTTTGAGTATTCGAGATCAATGTTCAGAATAAAATGGGATAACGTTTGGACCCACTTCCAAATGGCTCCAAGAGAAAGGGAGAGTTCGATTCCGCAGGAGCAGGACTGGCCACAAACTGGCAGCTATTTAAGCTGGCCGATGAGACGCAGGAGCTGGGTCGTTCCTCACTATTTTCTCCTTTCTCCCTTTTCTATGTCGAAAGGTCTCAGAGCAAGAAGTCTGAAAGCACAAGGCGGTGCGGCACCGGGCGCATCAGGAGCGACCTGCCCGGCCGGCCGCTGCAGGCGCATCTCGGAAGCGAGCAGAGGGGCCTCGGGCTTTCTCCGCCAGGGCGCAGCGCCCCTTCCCCTTCCCAGCGCCCCCGGTACGGACGGACGGCTCACTGACCTAGCCCGAGCCACGAGCTCACCAGGAGCGACAGCAGGAACACCAGCTGCGCCGAACCACCCATGATGGCATCAGGACTGGCGCGGTGCCGTACGCCGCGCACACCCACGGCCCCGCTGCGCATGCGCCCAGAGTAGTCGCCCCGTACGCACGCATGCACGCACCGCGTCGGTCGCCGCCGCCTACGCACGCATGCACGCACGGCGTCGGTCACCACCCCCGACGCACGCATGCACGCAGCTCCACCACCCGCCCAGCACCCGACAGTTTAGGAGGGGGAATCTGACGGCCGCGAGGCGGAAGACTGGCTACACCGCCTGCAGGGCCGCCCATGAAATTAAGAAACAGCATGCTGAGGGTCCCTGCCGTCCTAGAAGCCCCTTCACTACTTTTTTGAACGGTTGGACAGTTTACATTCCCTTTGAGATTGCTTTTGTGCGTCACACCATTGCAAGACCACAAAGGTTTCAACTTAACATTTATTGCACACTCACTGCAGGCCACTGCGCAGCCCTCAAAATACACAACCTAATAACACAACTTCACCTTCAAGGACTGCAGAGGCAGACCAGCTATATAAACAATCTCGTGGAAACGTAGTAATTTGGGTGAGAAAAATATGACGCTAGAGGTTTGGGAATGAGTATTTTGCATAAGCAAAATCTCAGAAGTTTGAAAATACAGCCTGCAAATCTCGAATTTCACCAATAACCGTAGCCCTTAGTCACCACGCCTTCCACTATTTTTTTGCCTCTGCCTCTTCCGTTTTTGCACCTTTACACTTGCAGCTCTCTCAACTCCCTTGCCTCTAGTTTACTCCTCTTCCCATTTCCTACAACTTAACTTGGTGGGAGCATTTTAGCAAAGCCATTTCAAAAGCATAAAAAGTCCATCTGATCCAATGAATTTACTCAGAAATTTATACTAACAGGGAGGCTTTCAAAATTTTAAATTACTTAAGCGTTATTTAGATTAGCATAAAAATCTTAAAACCAAATGCTTCTATCAGTAGGGTACTGTTGGTAATTTAACATACATCCACATGAAATTATTAAACCATTAAAATTTGTTTTTCAAGGAATATTTAATAACAAGGTAGGCAACATATGCTTATCTAACATGGAATTTTATGTCACTGCTGCTAAAGCAAAGCATCCTGTTCACTGGGTGAAAGACCTGCTTTAAAGTGTGTACACTTCAGTGCAATTAAAATAAAATACTGTCATTATAATTTCAGAGCTTCTGAATTTCAACAGATGCCAGTGTTCTCTTTTTTCATATGGGAAAATTCCTTTGAAAATCATTTGAAGCTTGGACAAAAATTCCACAGCTGTATTCCTCAGGATCACTTTGCAGAGTCTTCAAGATCCAGATACAGAGGAAGCTTCAATTCAACCTTTCAGAGAAGACATTCCAGCTCGCATGATCTCATCAACCAAGAGAATGTTGGTGGCAATCACAGTGCTGAAAGGGTGACAAAAATTACATGGCTTAGATGATTAGAAGCCCTAATTTGACTAAACTACCCACTTCCAACTAAGCTGCACACGTTACATCCAATTAAATTTCCCCCTTCCCTCTACACATCAAAGCTCTGGCTAGTTTAGTTTCCATACTTCCAGCTGATTACATTATTCATGGAGGAAAAGGAACAACTAAACAGAACACACTAAATGAAAAGCATATGATGATTCTCTAACAGTTTAGTTTTCATTTTCCCAAACTTACCAGGAGTGAAGAAGCTGTTTCTTTACACAATAGTTATCCCATACGCCTACTTCTGCTGCTACCACTGGCTCACCTAAAAGGCAACCAAATCTTAGATCAGTCAATAAGAACCAAAAATATTGTGTGCGGCTTTGCTTATCACTGATGACTTATTTCCTCCAGTATTAACTATGAGAATTCAAACCTTCTCTGTTAGCCCAATTTTCTACTCTAAATCATGACCCCTATTCACAATATTTGATGAGCGTCTGACTTCTACTTAAAAGACCTGAACACCCCTCTCTTCTTCTGGATACATTTCTGGTTACCCATACTAAAGTAGAGCACTTCAACTATAATTTAGCTAAAATGGACTATCATTTCTCTCATTCCAGAAACCTTTTCTATTAAATAATGTTGACAACAGGTCTCGCACATACTGCATGGATGTACCCGTTATCTGTCTCCTACTGTGTACTTGTATAGTATGTGTTGTTTTCTTACAGGGACTTAAGATTAAGGCTGTCACCATTTCATTAGCTTTCTAGATCCCCTTTTCTGGCATTATTTGCTATCTTTAGCTGTTTTTCACCCATGAATATAATGACCGTATCTATTTTCTTATCATAGTACTTGATTAAAGACTGTGTAAGGCAATACAGTATGAAAATCTTTCAACATTAATCTGAACCATCTACCACCACTCAACATCTCCAACAAAACTGTATCCCAAAAGTATTCATATCTACTCTATTTCCTTAATTATAAGAACTAGTCATTCCATTTTTTATTAATATCCTAGTTTATCCCATTTTAGAGAACCCAGAGTTCCCTAACAGTACTGGTGTCAAATTGCAAAGCAAAAGATTTTTTTTGGTCCCATTTTTAATCTTTCCTGGCTTCAACTCACATGTATTATATCTAGTTTTCCCCCTACAAACAGTTGCACTCTCTTACCTGTGTTGAGGTCCACACCCACAAGCTGACCCGATTCTGAATGTTCTGCTTGAATTTTAACTAATGTTTCCTGAAGGTCAAAACCAGAGTTCTGAGCAAGAACCTAAAGTAAACAAATTTAATTCTTGAGAAAACAGGAACTAAGAATTGATAATTAAAAAAAAAAAAAAAAGAGAAAGAGAGAAAAAGAAAACTCGACCAGGCACGGTGGCTCGCAACTGTAATCTCAGCAGTTTGGGAGGCTGAGGCAGGTACATCACCTGAGGTCAGGAGTTCGAGATCAGCCTGGCCAACAAGATGAAAGCCCTTCTCTACTAAAAATACAAAAAAAAAAAAAAAAAAAAAAAAAAAAGTTAGCCAGGTATGGTGGCAGGTGCCTGTAATCCCAGCTACTCAGGAGGCTGAGGTTTCAGTGAGCTGAGATCACACCACTGCACTCCAGCCTGGGCAACAAGAGTGAAACTCCATCTCAAAAAAAGAAAAGAAAAGATAATCTCATTGCACGAAGACAGAACATTTATTTGTGTTCCCTTCAGGGAATAACCAGACACAAGTTGCTATCAACTCTCTTACCTTCCCCAAACCCAGCTGCAATACACCAGCCATAAACTATATCTCAAAATTAGTATATAAAACAATGTCATCAGTTGAACTAAAACAAAAACAAAAAGCAAGTCTGTACTCAAGTATAACCTCTAATATTGATTAAATATTAAACTACAGGTTATCTCTCGGATCTGAAACGTCAGCTATTCAGGCCTCCCAGAGAAACAAAATACATTTGGATGATGATGAATACCTGTTCTAGAGTAAGGAAGAAAAACTGATCAAACTTGCTTATCCAAAATCCACATTATGAATAAAGCCTACATTGTCAAAAAGGTTTGATCAGCTGAATATTTGAAGACTAACTGTTAAAAGTGTGCACACCTTGGGAATAATGAGCAATGCATCAGCAAATGCTTGGACGCCAAGCTGTGCCCTGCCCTTTACACTGGGCTTATATTTCATCAGGGCTTCTGCCATTGCCACTTCCACGGCACCAGCACCCGGAACCACACAGCCTGTTGGATGGGGGAGAAAGAAAAATCCTAAGAAAACTGTAGAACTAATTACAAATAACAAACCACATGAAAGCCATTAATTTCTTAGAAATTCACTATGACCTTATCAATTAAAGTACTGCATTTGAAAGTCACAATACAAGCAACTAATATATCAAAATAGAATGGTTCCACCAGAATGGCTTCACTAGCTGCTGGCAGCTCTTTCAACAGATTGGTATGGTATTAGTTCATTTATTTGTATTCACCTTTAATAATGATATGCTATCAAAAACCTTAGCATACCATCTATCATTCTCAAGGGAAGACTGCTTTTGCATGGTGTCTGGCTGTGTAAACTACTGATAAAAGAACACAGTATTCAGCCATGCCTTTCAGACCAGCAAAACAATGTAATACAACTGAAATACAGTGAGGATCTTACCATCATCGATAGCATTTTTGACAGCCCTCAAGCCATCCCTTACTGCATCTTTGATCTGAGTGAGTGTGTGCTTATTTGGTCCTTTGATCAATAATGTGACAGAACGAGGGTTGTTACATTTCTCAATAAAGGTGAATTTCTCTTCTCCCTATGTGTAGAAGAAATATGATTTTCAAAAACAGGATTTGTGCCATTACAGAGAATGACAAGTAGCATAATAAGGAACAAACTTGATCACATTAAAACAAATTATCTCTTTTTGCAAAATCACGTGATTTTCCACACCAACGACTTCCCATTACTATGATAAACCTTCAAAATGTATATAAACAAAAAACTGTTCCTGAATTTCAATTAATTTTTCTGCTAAAAACTTCATCAGCCAGGCATAGTGGCTCATGCCTGTAATCTCAGCACTTTGGGAGGCTGAAGGTGAAGACCAGCCTGGGCAACACGGTATAACCCTGTTTCTACGAAAATTACAAAAAAAAATTAGCCAGGCATTGTAGCACACGTCTGTGGTCCCATTTGCTCAAGAGCCTGAGGCGGGAGGATGGAAGACCACTTGAGCCCAGGAAGATAGGGCTGCAGTGAGCTGTGATCACTCCACTGCACTCCAGCCCAGGTAGGAAGGAGACCCCACCTCAAATAAACAAACAAAACAAAAATAATTCATGAGCTAAAAACTTATATTACCTTCAAGAAGAAACTACACTTACCAATGTATACTCATATACAAGGCCTGCATGTCCCAAGCAGTCAGGACTTAGGTCATCAAAAGAATTCAGGGCTACCCCACCACAAGCAAGAGTCAACCTAAAATAGCATTTGTGAAAAGATGTTACCAGTGAAATTCAAAGAGAAGACCAGTAACTTTTAGAAAGAAATTTTTCAGAATTACAAACAAAATTACATTTTAAAATGCACTTTAACCTAAGCCTTTCCATTTGCCATCAACCAGCTGAAAACTAGCACTTTCTCTTAACCCTCCATTTAAATCACTCTCCCCAAGTCAGCAAATGAAATCAAAAGGTGAACAACAGCTCTTTATTAGCTGAGCATGATGGCTTATGCCTGTAATCCCAACACTTTGGGAGGTTGAGGTGGTTGGATCACTTCAGGCCAGGAGTTTGAGACCAGCCTAGCCAACATGGCAAAACCCCATCTCTACTGAAAAAACAAAACAAGGCCGGGCGTGGTGGCTCGCACCTGTAATATCAGCACTTTTGGAGGCCAAGGTAGGTGGATCACGAGGTCGGGAGTTCGAGACCAGCCTGACCAACATGGTGAAACCCCGTCTCTACTAAAAATACAAAAATTAGCTGGATGTGGTGGTGTGCACCTGGAATCCCAGCTACTCGAGAGGCTGAGGCAGGAGAATTGCATGAACCCGGGAGGTGGAGGCTGCAGGGAGCAGAGATCGTGCCATTGCACTCCAGCCTGGCGACAGAGCGAGACTCTGTCTCAAAAGAATTTTTAAAAATTCAGCAAGCATGGTGGCAGACACAAGTAATCCCAGCGACTTGGGAGGCTGAGGCATGAGAATCCTATGAACCCAGGAAGCTGAAGTTGTAATGAACCAAGATCATGCCACTGCACAACAGAGGAAGACTGTCTCAAAAAATAATACATTTTTTAAAAAAAGTTTTTTATTGTGGTGAGCTGTTTGGGAGAAAGTATACTGAATTCAGAGACAAAAAGTAAAATAATGTTTACAAGGGACAAGGGGGAGGGAGAAATGGGGAGTAACTTTTTTTTTTCTTTATCAGCAACTGCATCTGCAGGAAGTAACTATTTAATGGGTTTACAGTTTCAGTTTGTGATAATGAAAAAGTCCTACAGATGGGCAGTGCTGACGGGTGCACAATAATGTGAATATAGTTAATGCCAAGTAATTGTACAGTTGAAAAACCTGAAAATAAAGTATAAGGAAAAAGAAATAATCCCAAATCACTTACAAAATGAGTAAAAGTCAAATTAATCAGATAAATCTGCTACCCATACCTCTCCATATTTCTCCTTTTAGCTCTGCGCAGAGCAACTATGCCTTCTTTTGAAAGAGCATCTAACGAAAAGGGATCAATTCCCTATAACAAAAATAAAAATTAGTTTCAACATCTTTCACCTTAAAAGTAAAAAGGATGATATATATTACACTTAGTTTATACACTGCATTTTCATTCTCACCTTTTGATTAATAACAACAAATCCTTTATCTGAATCACCACAGACTTTCCTTTTCAGTTCTATTATTTTTTTAATTCTATCTTCAATGAATTTTCTTTCAGCTTTTACAAGTTTTTCTCTCTCTTCTGCACTCTTGTAAAAAAAGCCAGAATTCACTTCTCTATTAAGAAAAAAAAAAATTTACAGAAAACAGGGAAACATTTTTTGAGAAGAAAGTAGTTTCTGAAACTGGATTAGTCCTAAGGTTTAAAAAACAGTTCAATGAGCTCCAATCCTTCCCCTTGTTACAGCTTCAGAAGCTGTTTTCTGTAACTTTCACAAACCAATTTGAGGATTATTATTCTTACAGTGGGAAATGAAGTTTCACAAAAAAGTAACTCACTTAAGCCAGGCGCCGTAGCTCACAGCACTTTGGGAGGCTGAGGTGGGCAGATCACCTGAGGTTGGGAGTTTGAGACCAGCCTGACCAACATAGAGAAACTGCATCTCTACTAAAAATACAAAAGCAGCTAGGTGTGGTGGCGCATGCCTGTAATCCCAGCTACTCAGGAGGCTGAGGCAGGAGAATCACTTGAACCTGGGAGGTGAAGGTTGCGGTGAGCCAAGATCATGCCATCGCACTCCAGCCTGGGCAAAAAGAGCGAAACTTCGCCCAAAAAAAAAAAAAAAAAAAAAAAAAAAGTAACTCACTTAAAATACGAAGCTCCTCCATTTCACTGTTAAGGGGCTATAAACTTACGTTTTTTCATATTCTAATGACACGTTACATGTGAGGATGTACGCATCTTCCACCCTTTTCTTCATATCAGGATGCCGTGCTCCGTGGTCCAAAACAAGCCCTCTGATTAAGCTGTTCAAACGTACACAAAATTATGGTTATGGATTTCCAGACATGTATAACATGTTAAAACACTGAACTGAGAAAGTATTAATAATTTTCATGCATTCAGCTTTATTTCTTGAATTACTTGAAGATCGTATGCTGTATAGGCAAGTCTGCAGAGACAGTCTCAATATAAGCTGTCAAACTGTGGTGATGTCCTTTAAAAACATGTTTTCTGCCAAGTGCCTGTAATCCCGGCACTTGGGGAGGCAGAGAGGACATCTTGATTCCATGAATTCAAAAATCAGCTTGGGCAACAGCCTGGAGAATAGAGACTCCATTCTCCACAAAAAGAAAAGAAAAACAAACACAAATTTGTTTTCTAACTAGGTCTTTGGAAAAAAAATTTTTTTCTTTTTTTAATCAAACTTTTTCTCATTATGCTTTGTACCTAGTAATTCAATAAACGCCCAATGACTGATGATGTTCACTTTTCAGAATCATTCTAACCATAAATACAACATTCACCTTATTTCAGGAGAAAATATTGCTAAAAGTACAAACAATATTCATCTAGCAATTTATCCAATTTATATCTTCAGATATTTATTTTATATCCAAAGACATTAAAAAATTTGCCAATAATATATATTGTACAAAGCACCCCTAAAATTTATTTTTTGTTTTTGGAGATGAAGTCTAGCTTGGTCACCCAGGCCACAGTGCAGCGGCGCAATCTCGGTTCACTGCAAACCACCTCCCAGGTTCAAGCGATTCTCCTGCCTCAGCCTCCCAAGTAGTTGTGATTACAGGCACCCACCACCACGCCCAGCTCATTTTCATATTTTTAGTAGAGATGGGGTTTCGCTGTGTTGGACAGGCTGGTCTCAAACTCCTGACCTTGTGATCTGCCTGCCTCGGCCCCCCACAAAGTGCTGGGATTACAAGCATGAGCCACCACGCCCAGCCAACACCCCTAAATTTCTAAACACACATTTTTTTTTTTTTTTTGAGATGGAGTTTCATTCTTATCACCCAGGCTGGAGTGCAATGGTGTAGTCTCAGTTCATTGCAACCTCTACCTCCCAGTTTCAAGCCATTCTCCTGCCTCAGCCTCTCGAGTAGCTGGGATTACACGCGCAGCTAATCTTTTAATTTTAGCAGAGACAGGGGTTCCCCATGTTGGCCAGACTGGTCTTTAACTCCTGGCCTCAGGTGATCCGCCCACCTCAGCCTCCCAGAGTGCTGGGATTACAGGTGTGAGCCACCACACCCGACCATTAGTATTTTATAGTATTCTACTACCTACCTTGTATCAGTTTCAGATTTATGTTTCATCTCCATGATCTCAATCATGAAGAGATCAACAGGCTCATCTTGTTTTTTAATGGCCAAAATGGAGTCCACTACAGCCTGCAATAGGAGGAGCATAACCATTAAGTAAATTCAATTTGCGGCGGGAGAAACATGTTGCTTTTCAGAAAGCTAACGCAGACAGTTTCTTCACTTTACAATCTCTACGCAGATTAAAGTCTTTTTCTATGAGCAGACAGAATACATCATATGTAAACAACTGAAGTCATTTACATTTCTGAAATCTCAATCTGTAATTCCCAAAGAATCATTAACATTCCTGTTTTATTAAAAATACTGGTAACGGCCGGGCGCGGTGGCACAAGCCTGTAATCCCAGCACTTTGGGAGGCCGAGGCAGGTGGATCACGAGGTCAAGAGATCGAGACCATCCTGGTCAACATGGTGAAACCCCGTCTCTACTAAAAATACAAAAATTCAGCTGGGCATGGTGGTGTGTGCCTGTAATCCCAGCTACTCAGGAGGCTGAGGCAGAAGAATTGCCTGAACCCAGGAGGCGGAGGTTGCAGTGAGCCGAGATCGTGCCATTGCACTCCAGCCTGGGTAACAAGAGCGAAACTCCGTCACAAAAAAAACAAACAAACAAACAAACAAACAAACAAACTGGTAACTAGAAGCTTTCTAATAACAAAATCTCTACTTTATAAACCTTTTAATGAAAACTCCAGTTTTACTTTTACTTTCACAGTTAGGGATACTATTTGAATTTCCTCATTTTAGTTTTTAGAGACACAGATTAGGTATCATTGCCACAAAAATGAACCCACATAGCACCTTATAATTGAATTGGTAAGTATATTCATGTTTCTACTATCAGAGATTTTCTATAGGTGAACTATAACAGATACAGACAAAATTTAATACATACCTCTGTTAAGACATCTGCAAGTTCAGCATGAACTTTAGTACGAAGAGATGTTCTGGCCACATCTATAAGTGTTTCCCTGTCCATCTCTTTGCTTACTTTGACTTCTTCCAAAAACTGAAGGACCTTTTCCTTTGCAGCTTCAAACCCTTCAGTAATTATTCTGGGATGAAGGCCCTATAATAAACACACAATAACACTTTCATCTTCAATTAGATGCAACTATAGTTCATGATAAAGTTCAGATAATTTTTGAAGGGATACTCTGGATCATCATACCTTTGAACACAAGGTTGTATCATGTGCTGGCTTTCTGAATACATTTAAAAGGATAAATATTCCTTTCAATGCAGAGGAGAAGAACAGGCAATGCTCTAGCACAGGGTCAAAGCCAAGGGAACTATAAAGCACACTTGGGTGTTCACTGTGCAAACCACTCCGAATCATGTCAAAACTGACACTGCGTCCCAACCCACAGACGGCAGCATTATTCTACCTTTTCTGTAAGTAATCTCAAACTAATTCACATCATTTACTAGTAAAAATACAGACTCTCTGCTCTCTTTTTCCAGGAAATTCTGACAATAGATTCATACTCACTGAGGTTTGCTTTAACCTTGGAACTAGTCAGGGCTAAAAAAGTGGAATTTATCCATATGTAAGCTTTTGGTTGGCTTTTTCATAACAAATAAATATGCATAGTCCTAAACATCCAATTTTTAGATCTCAATTATTAATCTACATTAAAGAAAGAAACAAATCACATAGGCAATACGACTTGATTACAAAATTATTTTCAGGCCAAGAAAGGTTCTATAACCTGTCCAAGGTCATATTTGTTTTAGACCAAGACAAAGGCCCAGATTTAAGCCCCCTAATTCTACTGTATGGCCTCAGCTACTATTAACAGCACATCAATTTGTATACATAAGTATCAGACACTTCCTATATACAATAAAATAATATAGAAACGAGCTGTGCATACTTCAGAAATGTAGAGATCCGCCTGTTTCAGCAGCTCTCCAATGATTAGGACATTGGAAGTTGTACCATCACCAGTTATATCATCCTGGGCTGTTGCTACCTTTGCTATTAAGGAAGCTGTTGGGTGCTGAATTTGCTGAAAGTAGAAAAAGAATTATTACTTAAAACAATATGAAGCAGTCTAAATACACCACAAAGAAATTCATGAAAGGCCTCTTTAAGTATAATCTACATGAAAAAGCTACCCAGCCGGGCGTGGTGGCTCAAGCCTGTAATCCCAGCACTTTGGGAGGCCGAGGCAGGAGAATTGCCTGAACCCAGGAGGCGGAGGTTGCGGTGAGCCGAGATGGCGCCATTGCACTCCAGCATGGGTAACATGAGTGAAACTCCGTCTCAAA